TAATACAGAAATTTCAGACTTTCACATTGCAAAAGTTAGGGATAATGGTCCTGAAAAATCTATGCCTGTGGAATTATGATAGTCTCTTCTTTCCAAAATAAAGTTCTCAGGGCATAGTTTTTATCTTTTGTCTTTATTATTATTTATTGTTATATATTTAGGACCCAAGATACTGACTTTTCAATACAATCAAGGTTTCAATGTAGAAAATTGCAATATAGTTTTGGTTTAGAAAACTAATGTGGAACAATATGTTAACACTGTTGTGTTCTGTTGCATACAAATACATCTCATCTCCTTCTCTTGGAAATGGTTATAAATGATTGCAATCTCTCTGCTTCCATGAGGTCAAATTAGCCCCTTAAGTACTTATGCATTTAGATATGCAACAGAGAAATTTCTGTCTCTTCAAGTCTCAGCAACAGGCTGATTTCATTTCTATTTCAGCAGTAACTCATCTTAGTGACAGTGTAGTTTTTGATATTAAAGAGTTTAAATGGTTTGATCAAACGTGTTAGTTTATAAGTACAAACTGTCCACTTAATTGTCCTTTACTATTACTATCTCAGAGATTTAGATGCAAATTGTCTGTGATTGAGATTCATATTTGTTTTTCTTGAATTTAATACCCATTTCCCCACCAATGTTTAGAAGGATGCTTACATGCCTTTGGAAAGACTTGATCAGTGAAAACTAACCAAATTTACTTCACAAATACCTTAAACCTCACATATAAAATCATTTCTCTTCTTCCTTCCCCAGCCTTATGATCCCAAGAAGTCCTGTGCAAATTATCTGAAGTTATGGAACATAAAGCATGCAGAGAAAGAATCCAGTATATACATATACCTATGCTGCATAAGGATACTAAATAAATACATTGTAAGAAGCTGAAAGTATAATGTAAATTGCTGTGTTTCATACACAACAAACATAGGGGATAATTTTTGGAAATGCACATGTAGGATGACAAATTGAGTTAATGAGACTTAATTTAGAACATTTAGGTTGTAAGCCTGAACGTGGTTACAATATATCAAAATAAACCACAGGACTCATTGCTGCATAGACATACACAGATTGCTGCAAGTAAACTGAAAGAGGAAAAAAAATAAAAGGACAGGAGATGGGCTTTAATTGTGTGGTTTAAATGTAGATTAAAGCCATTTATTTCTGTATAATTTTTTTGGCAAGTGGAGAACTTTTGAGGTTACAGCTAGACGTCTGAGATCCTAACCAAATATTCATAATACATGATAAGGAATACATTCTTAAGGAAAGAAAGGTTTCAGAACAGATGAAATAATAATCTTTGTTAATTAAGAAAGTGTTCATGTTAATTCTGTTACTAATCCTTAAGTGTGCACATTCTTTGAATATAGAGAACTTATAGTCATTGAACTTTGATTTAAAAAAAAGATAAGAATAACTAACTGAATTCTAACCTAAAAATAAATAGCAATTATTCCTGGATTAAGTAAGACCATCTATCTTAATTAAAAGATGATCTAATTAAAAAAAGTATTTTTGTGTATAAGTTTGTGCCTTACACACATATACAACCTTTGATATTTAGATAGTTGAGACCTGCACACAACTGTAATTAAGTATCAAAAATTGTTTTCATGGACTGCATTTTTCAAAAGTTGAGATTAATTATGCCTTGCATATACAGATATCAAAATTACTAATATATACAATTCTGAATAAACTGCTGGTTTGTCTATAAATGTTGCTCCTTTTTGAAAAAAATGCAAAATATGAAAGAAATTAACTTTATTACAATAATTTTGTTATGCATTGCTAGCTCCTGGACAAGGCCAACCCATTATTAGACAGACAGACAGACAACCAACTTGGAAAGGGTCATAAAACAGACAGTATTACTCTAGTTTGACTGCCAGGTTGCAGAAAAGTATGACATTTCCTACTGCAATAACTTTTAGTCAGCTTTTAAAAAGTAAGATAAATATTGATGGAGAGAGGTTGTCATTTGACTTTATGAAGTGTTTTCATAAGACTTTTCACTACAACTGATCCTTCCATAACATTTCATCTGGATCCCCAAAAATTTCAGGTTTAAGCTGACAGCATTTTCACCATTAACAGAGAGACAAAAATTTCGACCTCTAAAACCTCCAAATACTCTACTCTTATGAATCTATCTCATTAAGTCCATGAAATAATCAAAAATATTTGCCGTATGAAATATCATTTAGAGATACAGTTTCTGAAACAACACTCTTAACATATTACAACAATTAACATATTTCTAAGCTTCCCATTAATTCCCATTCTAACTCCTAAACAGCCTGTTTTCATATGAATTTGAGATAAAGCTTTCAAACAACATTTCTGGAAAATATAAATATGACCGTAGTAAGAGAAGGTAATACAGAGGTGCCAGGTTCAAAAAAGAGTCAGAAGTAAAAAGGGAACAAAACAAACATCAAATCAACCTACTGAGACTATTATGGCACTGTTCCAAAATGGCATTATTTAACGCAAGCTCCAGAAATTAAGTTGCACAAGGAAAGGATCAATTCTAAAGTAAGCATCTGTTCCTACACATTGTAGCCAATTTTGTCTCCTAATATAAGAACTATCCAGAGCTTTCAGCAATAACAGGACCAAAATAATAAAACATTTGAAAAAAATATAATAAAAGAAATAAGAGTTTAGTAGTTTTAGGGAGTTTCCTAGTAATCTAAAAATTATGTCAGTGCTTAAATTAAAATTGGGTTTAACATCAAATAAAATTACTTTTTATGAAACATCATTTTGAATAAATAGTACATAAAATTCAATTTCAAGCAGTTTAATCATTATACTCACTTCCTATCTACATATTCAAGAATTTCCAGTTAAGACTGACAACTTCCAAAGTCAAAAAATAGGGTTGACTTAATTATCCATTCATACAATGGAATTTTTTTATAACTATAAACTGTATTAAATGTGAGTTTTGCTCTTTTGCTCTCTTGGTTAAACTCAAGTTATAATTTTAAATAGGCCATATATGACTATGTCATTCTGAGTTTTAATTCAGAGAAATTTCATTTGGAAATCAGGGTTTCAAAAACAGTCACTGAATTTCAGGCTTACATTTTTAAATTGGCAACACCAAATAATATCAAAAAAATTACATCCATTGAAAGAAAATGTGTTCACCAAATATGAGAACTTGAAGATGCCAACTTGTAATGGCTGTTTCACATAAATATCACCAAGTTTTATGGTTATCACATGACAGATATGTGAATTAGCAGAGATCACAATGATCAGAAAAATAGCTTCTAAATTATGGCTACATAATCGGGACATAAATAGATCCTACCCAATTACAAAAACAGGCTTCTACTTTCAGAACAGAATTGTTATTTAAGGATTTTTTTCAAGCTAGTCATCCATCACACATGCTATTTTGGCATAAAAACTCTGCATAGATCAGAAACTAAGTTCAGATTCCAAATTTCAGTCTAACTTACTTCAGGTTATAGAAGTCCTCCGGAATGAGGAAAAAACTGCAAACAGAACAAAAGTATCAGTACAGTACATTATTATAGTGCTGTTGATGTACTTGTTAGACTATTTCAATTAGGAAAAGGTTGCCTATAAAAACCATAGAAAAGGGAAATTTGAAGGAAACTTGTGTGCAATTGTCATTTTGCTCAGAATATCAGAACTCTATAGATTTTCTTTTGTTTTCTTTTAAAGTTCATTTGCTCACCATATTTGAAGTGCCTGTTGTGCTTTAGCTGGGCTTTTGAATAGAAAACCATTTCCTTCAAAACTCTTTCAATTTACTAAAAACACATGATCAAGCATAAAAGTCAATAACCGAGGATTCCAAAACAGATCAAAATTGCTGGAATACTTTAGAGTCCAAGTCTAAAAACTGGAGCAGTCCTAATGTGGCATCCAAGAGGATAAGAAATTTCAATTAAGAAAAGAAAATCTAAAACATTATATGATAGCTTGCACAATAAATTTAAAATCAGTTTGATGCAGAAGAACAATATTAACCAATCGTAAAACTGATTAATACTCTGAAGCAGTTCCTGGTAGCATTCCGCAATCAATTATTCTGGCATTATCAGCTAAGAAATGCAGACTGAGAACAGAACAAAGTGAAACACAAAAACTAATATTAAACATAATTATAATTTAACAGCAGAATCCATGTTGTACTTTTTAAATCATTTATTGTATGATGTAAGTAAGGCTATATGAATGAATATATTATGGACTACACTGAAGATAAAAATTTGCAAAAGCTTTAAGTACTGCTGACACTGAATTGTGTTTAAAAAGAAGGGTGACAAGCAGTTAAGATATAGCTGTAGTTACAAAAAAAATAAATGTGGCATTTAATCTGTTCTAGTGAAACAAATGGCTTATAGTTAAAAACCACCTAAAGAAGGTGCTTCTGTATTTTCACATTTGCTTTCTTCCACCTATAAATTTCTAAGACGATTTGCTGATACCCTATTTGAATGCAAAATTATTGCAAACAGTAACATGTTAAAACCTGTTATTCTCAGTTATGTAGAATGATAAGAAACCTATTTAAATCTGTATACCCCAAAATGGGGATCATCAATAGGCCTGGCAAAGGTGAAAAGATACCTTATAGGTAAACAGTTCCCTTGTAGATATTTAAAACATGAAAGATAGTGCAAATTTAACACACTAGTATCACAACACAAATTAACTCCTCATATTCAGTTTTTTTTTTTTTGTAAAAAAAAACTTGGCACACAACATAAATGTGGAAACAGGAAAAAAAGAAATTATATATTCTGGGAGAAGGGAAGAAAAGCAAACTGGCCAATGTTGCCCCCATTTAGTGAGTAATCTTTCTTACTCTCCTCTTTTAGCCTTTAACTTACTATAAAACAGGCCAATTGAGGCATGTTTCTGTGCCTAAGTTACTTCTTAAAATTAAATAATTCAAATACGTTATTAAAAAAATAATATATTTTTTTAAAAAAACACTACTCATGGCCAAACTGAATGGAAGGTTGCAATTATTTCAAAACAAATTTTCATGCAATTCCCCTTAAAGGAATCGGAAATAAAGAACAGCTTTGTAGGTTTGGTTTTACTAAATTGTGTCACATGAAACTTTTAACAACATTGTGCACAGGGGCATAGAAGCTTCCCTTATGCTCCTGTTTGATTCTCCCGACTCTCTTCAAGTGCACATGGAAAAAGAAACTAGACAAAGTTTCCTGGTTTCCTGTCTTTGCTTTCAATAGGGACTATTGTGCTCTCCGAATTGTTCTGCTGAAGCTGAAGTCTGCTCCCCCTCTGTGATGAAGAAGGCGTGTTGCTTTGCTGGTGATGGAAAAAAGAGGAACCCGGGTAATGCCCCATGACCTCACTGTAAGTTGGGGGTGGTCCTTCCATCCTTCCATTACTGCTGTAATTGGTTGCACTTATTCCCGAATTGCTGCTTGGTGGGCAAGGGCCTGCATTGTATACTGAAACATCTATTAAGTCGCTGTCAAATATAGTTCTGTTTGGTGGTGCCCTCACGGATTCTCTGTTAAGTTCCATCTGTTGTTCTGGATCCCGAAGTTGCAGAGTGCACGGCCCTTGGTATGGTGGTGGTTCTTCACCATCAGAAAGGGAGATTGTAGGAGGCAGATCAATCTCGTGCTGCACGTAGGGATAAGTTGGCTGGAAGCGACTGAAATGTTCTCTCTGCAGGAAAGATGGAGCGGTGAATCTGTCCCTGGAACGTGGGGCATACATAATCTGCAATGTAAAGCAATCAGTCAAACTTAAAAAAGAAATCAGAAATGCATGCTACACACACACATTTTTAAAAAAATCAAATTTAGTGTTGAAACTATTTTAGAGGGGAAAAAAGGTTCCTTAGGAGATCTTACCTACTTTACAAAATTATCTACAATCAGAACAATTCTTGGGAAAGCATATTCCTATGCATATACTTCCATATACTTTCCGTAGTATTTGTCAATACGGTATCACAGGGAAACTGAAGCTCAGGTAAATGTGCAACCACAGCCATCAACTTTCTCTTCCCCCCATAATGCTTTTTAATTCTGAAATCTATATGCTTACAGTCAATAGGAGCAACACAATTGCCGCAATGCCACACGTGACTTTCATACCACATTGCTTCTCTCCTCCGAAAATCAAATAACTGAAATTTCAAAAAGTCGCCCTGGTGCTCCCTTTTGAGGCTTACCTCTGAAGGTCCTTGTCGAGAAGATGAGCTGTCAGAAGGCCACAGACACCCCTCCTAGGACAAAAAGAAAAAAAGAAAAGCTTCAGCATTTAAGAGCTACATGCCAGTTATGTGTTTTACAGGTAGTCCTCAACTTAATCATTCACTTTATGACTGTTTGAAGTCAAGACGGATCTCCAAAAAGCTACTTACAACTTGGTTTTGAAGTTCTCCTTCCCATGGCCATATGACCACATTTTGGATGCTCAGCATCTTGCCTGCATTTACACCCATCTGTAGCACCCTGTAGTCATGTGACCACAATTTATGACAGTTTTCCTGGAAACCAGTGCTTATTTCTGGTTTCCAGCAAAAATCGCCCCATAGTGATCAATGGATTTGCTTAATTACCATCAAGTTTACTTAACGACTGCTGCAGAAAAGATCATAAGAACATGTCTGGTGACCTGGTTTATGACCATCATGAATTACGGCTGTAATTGCCAGGGTCAATTACTGTCGTAACTTGAGGATTACCTAAACTTCAACATTAGTGTATAATTTCTACTGAAGTATACACATTTTGGACATATTGTTATGGGGGTGGCATTAAAAACATATTGACATGTCACGTTTGTTACACTATTACATCCATTTTCATAAGAGTATGAACATGTTTCTAGAATTTTCTTACTTTGTGCCATAATAGCTTGGGGATGATTCTGTGGTGAATGTGTTTTGATCTAAGGCCTATGATGCTAAATCTATACACTTCATTTTTATTTCTTATTCAAGTTGATAACATAATTCAGTTGTAACTGACTGCATTCTAATCACTAAACATAGTAACAAAATAGAAAGTCTAACATAATTTGACCAAGAAATAAGATAAAGCATTATTTAATGTATGTGTCTCTCCCGTGGGGAAGAGGGGAACGGAGCAGGATGGGACTCAGATTTCATTTTTCTAACCAGTCCCTGAATACCTCCTAGAATAGCTGGGTCTTAATGGCTGTCCTAAATGCCATAGGACTGATGCTGATCTAATCTCTGTGGGAATGCTGCTTCACAGAAGGAAAAAAAAAAGCTTTTTTTATTACCCTGGATTATAAGACTACTTAAGAATAGGGGTCCCTCCCTTCCAATGTGATTGGACAGGAAATTCTGCTATGCAATATCTTCATTAAACAATCATTAATGAATAAGTATGACAGGATTCAGGACAATTGTTTGCAGCAAGTACAATTCCTCTATGCTATATATGACTTTTTCCATGTAATGTGGAACCTATAGTGTAACGGAGGCTTGGACATATATTAAGTCATAAAGATCATGCCAATAAGATCTTCCAAAGCTTCATTGAATAACCTGAGGACTGCCTGTTCAATGAACTGTGCAGCATGATTAGAGAGACAAGGTAATATTCATTGTTTTCCCCCATGCTGTGTTCAGTTCCACTGACCTACTTTGCATACAATTTTGATATTGTTTAGTTTAGCATCATCTACTTAAATTACACTACCTTTGCAACTTATCCCTCATGTACACATATATGCTCACAAAACTCAGCCTTTTCTTCTAGCAAGGCCATAGATCTTTCTCCACTGCTGAGCTGAAGTACTCCCTATCCAAAGTATATGAATCTACAGTTAGCAGTCCCCACTACCACTTCCTATCCTGCATCTATAACCATTCTCTCGAGTCAGTACTATCATTTGTCTGTCACTGAACTAAGCCTAACAGATTTTTTTTTTTGCATTTTGTTGTTGCCCTTGATTGATGCAGAATAAAGCAAAATATATTAGTTTAAAACTTGGACTGTTAATCTGTCCCACTCATCAGAACAGATGGATGAAATGTCATGGGGATGACCTTAAAAACATATTGGCAGGTGACGCTTGTTACACTATTAAATGTAAATGGAGTTGGAACATGTTTCTGGAATTTTGCTTTTCCAAAAGTTATACAACTAAAAAAAGGCCTAAAGAAAGCAGTAACAAGGTGGGATGGGTGGGGTCAGCAATAACAAGAATTTCATATGCAAAATCCTGATCATCATGCAACGTTTCTGATCCAGTTACTGTGAACACTCAATCTATACAAGAACTCACAGTATGCAGGTCTTGACGTGTTCGGGTCTTCTCCCATGTAAGATTGAGAGTATCTTGGCAACGTTTCGACAAGGGCCCACTCGCCATCTTCAGGCTGGTGCTTTCGGCTTTGTGCTTGTGTGAGCAAAGTGTGATCAGAGCTGCCGTCTCCTTATATATACTGGTGGGGAGGTTGGCTGTGTTGTCATTTCTTGATTGGTTGATGGAGTTGATGTTTGCAGATTGGCTGGCTTCTTCGTAAGAACATGTGTGGCTGACGTATTGGCTGTGTGTCCATCAGCCTCCTGTGTTGTAACGACCTGGGTCATGGGCTGTGTGATGACCTCCTGAGTTCTATTGTTTTGACATCCTGGGTCTTCTGCCGTAATCTCCTGAGTCGTAATGACCTGGGTAATGGGCTGTGTGATGACCTTCTGAGTTCTATTGTTGTGACATCCTGGGTCTTGTGCTGTTATCTCCTGGGTCATTGGCTGTGTTGCAACACTGGCTGTGAGCTTTTGTGGTGTAACCTCCTGAGTTCCGTGATGTGATATCCTGAGCAGGTGGCTGTGATGCAACGTTCTGGGTTTTGGTTTGGCTCTGAGTTTGTGTGTTCATGGCGTGTGTCAGTTTGCTTGATTTGGGGTCAGGGTGTGTAGCAGCTGATGATGCAACTGTGGTCTGGTTTCTGGATGGTGGTTGCTTTTCATCTATGGGGTGGGTTTGGGTTTAAGTCTGGTGAGGGAGATTGGTGGTAGTGTCATGTGTTGTTTTGGGTCTGGTGTTGGTTTTCGTGGCTGGGACTCATTTGTTGGTAAGGGCTAGTTTCCAAATGTCTGGTAGATGGGAGACATTGTCTCATTTATTCATGTTATGGGGGTGTTTCTCTATTTCGATGGCTTCCCTGATTATTCTCTTGTTGAAGTGTTCAGTATAGGAGAACAGGTCGTTACAACACAGGAGGCTGATGGACACACAGCCAATACGTCAGCCACACATGTTCTTACGAAAAAGCCAGCCAATCTGCAAACATCAATTCCATCAACCAATCAAGAAATGACAACACAGCCAACTTCCCCACCAGTATATATAGGGAGACGGCAGCTCTGATCACACTTTGCTTACACAAGCACAAAGCCGAAAGCACCAGCCTGAAGATGGTGAGTGGGACCTCATCGAAACGTTGCCAAGATACTCTCAATCTTACATGGGAAAAGACCCGAACATGCCAAGACCTGCATACCTGTACCAATGAAAATCTACGAAAACGAACTCATAGTATTATATACTGATAATCTCATTTAATTTATGTCTCATGTTTCTGTATAACTATCATGCAGCCAGGAAATACTCAAAAGTTTTAAGCTACTTACATGTTTAAAATATTACATGATTTTACTATTAAAAAAAAAGGAATTTTAATCTTTGCATCCACCACCAAGAAAGCACTGAAGAATTGCTTTATTTCACTGAATAACCTAACTCAGCATCTTCACTTAATATTTATTTGGCTGAAGAATTTTTTGAGTTAAGACCCCATTTCCTGAATCCATAAAACTTGCTACAAATTGTGAAACATTCCAAGAGTGATACAATTAACAAAATTACCCTCATGAAAAATGTGTACAGTTTGCTTCCAGATACACATCACTTTGTCAATGTAGTTTCTTCATCTAAGATCTGGATCCAACTTTTAATTATAATCAGTGGGAATAAAATTGTGGTTAAATTATTATATGGTTAAGTTCTTCAATGGTTGTTCAGTTATTGTGCTTATAATACTAGAAATGCTATGAATGTCTAGTCTTTGGATATGATAGGGGAGGCAAATAAATGTAATAAATAAATATAAATAATGTGAAAGTGAATTCAAGTTGATATGGAGAATATTTGTAGCTCAGGGTTGAAATGAGGGGTCCTTGGTGCTCTCTGAACATGGTTGTTTTCTTGCAGACATTTCGTTATCCAAACTAGGTAACATCATCAGTCCACTCTCCACTGAGAGTAGTCTAATCTTGGGAAAAGTCATGCTCTTATTGGTGCTATGCGTACAATCATGCACAATCCAACACACTATTTTCCCTTTGAAGGCAAAGCATTACATAGCCCTGTTACAAATTTAAAGTGCACATTATATGTTTGTTCTAGATAAATGCTGGAAAATATTGTTCCAGTGATGTCTACTTTCCTCCTAACATCAATGTTATTGCCTGTAGAAGTAAATGTGTCTCACTTTCCTTATTAGTTAAGACTGTGCAGAATCCTGTCTCATGTGAAAAACCCAGTGTGCATACACAATACAAGCCCTCCTGAAAACAGCAGGAAGCTGCTGTCATGTCAGTCAAAGCAGCAGGTGGCAAAGATCATTAAGTGTATCATGTGAGTTTCAGTAAAGGCTGAATATGGATAATGTAAAAGAATCTGGGGATTTGGAGCCAATGGATTTTTAAATTTAACTAAATTTAATGTTGCCACACTCTACAAATAAAAAAAACATTAATGCTGCCTGTATCGGATTATGATTGGTAAAATATTACTACTTCTGCCTAAACCACTATATAAAGAAAGTCATTCATGAACAAAAATGATGACGGCCATCAAAATCACCAATATAAGATTTGGAAATTGATTTAAAATGTTCACGTAAACAAACACATTTGCTGACAAGCATTTATTTAATAGAAAAACACAGTGGCAACTGAAACAATTCAAATAAACACAATTTTATGAAGTACAGAAAAAAATAGGTGGGAACAGACTTCCACCAATTAATTGCTCCATATAATTAAGTGTTGGTATATAGAACATGTCAGAATGCAGCTGCTGGGTGCAACTTGTCATTCTATAGCCAAGCAAATAATATGTGATCAAATAAGGAGTTTTCTCCTTCACTATTTTATTTGGATGGATATTTTCTTCTTTATTTGTCAAGTTTATCCTTACAGGAATAATTCTGCTTCAGAACTAAAATTTTCATTAATAACAATTTCTCAAGAAATAAAGCTGGTTGTATTTCTGGCACCCTCTACGAGTCTACACTACATAGGATTATAAATATTCGTTCAACAATTCATTTGTTAAACGGACATATGATCTGTACATTGGACTACAATAGAAATGAATGCAAATTTCAGATATGAGTATTTATAGGTTAAAGCTTTTAAATTACAAACAAAAATGGGCAGGGCTAATCAATGGCTCATCCTATCATAAAGACTTCCTGCAGCAATGAAGCAAATATCCTTGCTCAGCATTAATATTTGTAAACGCTAGATTCTTTCAGCAGTCTTTAAAAGTGTGTTATGTGTATGTGTGTCTCACAAAAATATATTCACTGTAGTATACAAAGTTTTGTTGCATTCACCAATAAATTGGTTACAGTATTATTTTTAATGTTATCTCTAGGTGGCAGCAAGAGGTCTTAAATACTAATTATTACTGCTGCAAACCAAAGTCCTTTGTCCTACATACTGTCTAACTCCCTTGGGGCAGAGAAGAGACCCATTTTATTTCTTTAAAAATATTTCTTTAAAGTGTATGTTCATAATGCATTAAAATGGGCATGGTATTCTAAGCACATAGTTTGAGAAAAAATGTATTTCACAAATTCAGGAAAAAATATAGAATTACACAAACACAAAGAAATTAGAAATGAAAGTGAAATTTGCTGAAAACCTGAAAAAGTTCTGAAAACATTGGGAAAATATTTTCCCAAGATTAGAATTTTATGTTGTCTGTTTTCTTTCTGAGACTATATATGTTTTTCCCCTGGTTTCTAGCCTGATACCTTAACTACAACATCAAATTGGGTCTCATATAATGCTATATAATGGCTAAAGTTGTAACCAAGTTAATACATTATTGCTATTCATTTATTACTGCTTTCCTTTTAATCTATTATATTACCTAACAATCTATTTTTATGGAGTTGGTGGTTGACTCTGATAGGCAGGATCAACAATGTGCCATTCCCAAACTTCCAGACTTGTATAGGGAGGCTTCTGCCAGGCAGACATCCATATAAGCAAACATCCAGCAACAGTTCAAACTAGTAAGTATAGTGTCAGAAGGAAGGATGAGGTCAGAACACTCGTGCCCTTACTCATAGACTGATTCAATGCACAAATGCCTAAAAGTGATTTTAAAGAAAATGAAAGGACTGATGAAAGAGCAGTTTCACATCCTGCCCTCCCCATTTCCTCTGTCAGTTGAAATCTGACCAATTTTCAGCAGCTGTTATGAGGAAATGTCTGCTCCTATATTTTAACCTTCTTACTGAAAATAGCTGCTTCACCATCCTATTGCAGAATTACCCTTCTCTTTATCCCATCATCTAATACAGTATTTCTCAACCTTGATAAATTTAAGAACTGTGACTTCACCTCAAAACCCAGAACTTCTCTAATCAGCATGTTCACTGGGAAATTCTGGCAGTTGAACTTCAAACTTCTTAAAATTGCTGAAGTTGAGAAACTCTGAACTAATACCACTAGAACTCTGAAACTACTGTATAAATCTGACAATGAATCGAAACAAACTAATAGTTTGCAGTCACATAGGGCAGCTTCTTCACATGATGATTATTCAAGGTAGTCTGCTATAAGCTTTTCACAGTATAGCTAGTGCTCTTGTAACAAATTATGAATTTAATGGGTAGGAGGAAAAGATATTCATTTTATCTATTCATAAACCTGCAATGATGTAAGACAGATTTTCCTTTAAAAAATTAATGCCATTCCCTAGCTGAATATAAGGGAACAATTTTATTTCAAATTTGAATCTGTTTAAAAAAAAAAAAAGTTTGCCTGTAAGTTTTTCCACAGCTAAGAAGTTTGCAGTAGCCTTAAACATTATTAATCTGCAAATTTTCTAAATTTAATAATGCAATCTGCATTGCCCTAATTAATTAATTAATTACTTTTAAGTGCCCATTTTCCCTTGAAGATGGGCTCTTGGCAGTATACAATTTAATCAATAAGATTACAAGGCCTATGCAGAAGTTTGGATTTGAAAGGAAACAGAATTTTGGAAGAGTGCATGGGTGCACACATGGTGACCACCCTAAACCAAACATGTCATTTCCTTCTGTGCAAGCCCAAGAAAAGATGCAGGTTCTTTAAGCACTAGCTGACAGGCAGTAGGAGCCATCTGTGTCCCAATTATTATTTTCTCCTATGAAACTAGATTGCTGCAGTGGCCTAAAATAAACACACAGAGGACATGAAACCAGACACAATCATTAAAATAAAAGCAGATTGTCCTTAATTTTTAAAGTTTTGTTTTTTAAGGAAACAATTATGTCTGCTCAAACCTATTTTTCCTGCATCAATATGTTTTCCAGAGGGCAATAAACTAGCCTTTTTTTTAACCTTTGCAAGAGTTTCTTAATTAATTGAAAGAACAGTCAAAACAATGTATTTTTGCCTTTTTCTTTTATCTACTTCTGCTTTGTTTAAAAAAACAAAGCAGAAGTCAGTAAAACAAAAAGGCAACGTTTCTTCTATTTCATACATGGTGTCATTTCTGTTTCTGTTTTTAGCAACAGTTGACATCTTTCTTTGTTCATTAGGCACATAGCCTCTAATTCACAGAAGACAAATTCTCATTTGGGATTGAGATGAAAAAATAAAGCCTGAATTATGCATAAAACTTGGTTTTCTCTCCAATTAGTTTAAGAACTTCACAGAACGATTGTCCCAAGTCTTTAGGGTCTGCGCATGGGGTTTCAAAGAAAATCTTTTAAAAAGTTGTTCAAATTGATTAATTTCAAAAACAGCAAAAGTATTAGCTGATCTTTGATAAACTTGGAAAATTAAACAGTCTAATCTGGTTGTACAGACCAGGGCTAAAAGCTAAATTGTAAAGTTAAAAAGAACATGTTAGGCATTGGCAAAACCATTTCCATATAGCCCTTAAGAAAACAGCATCAATATGTCCATGAAGTCATCAGATTGCTTGATTGCTCTTTATCTTCAAAGTATTACTAATATATAAATACTGTCCATGTTTCAATCCAGTCATCAGTTACAGGACACAACCTACCTCCCAAATAACATATTTTGCTATATCAATTAGCATAAAGTGAAAACCAACTTGATTAAACAATATGAAGGTCCATCAGAGACTATTGCTATTACTTCCTTCACTTAGCCCTGAAACAAGAAAATTAGCTCTCGCCACCAGGTGTCCTCTTACTGTACTGAGGCTATAAATCCAAGCAGGAGTTGAAGTTCTAATACCGGTGGTACATGTGGAGTGTGACAAGTGAAGAAAATTAAGCAAACTGCTTCAAAAGGATTGCTTGTAGTTCCTAAGTAAAGTGGTATGTAAAAATTTAAACTCACTGGTTGTAAAGAGTCCTCTTGCCTTCTGCTTTGGCTCTGACGACTGATGAAGGACCTTGTTGACCCCTTATAATGATTCAGCAAGCAGATGATCACTACTATCATAACAGTTATCACCACTATGATGATGATAATCTGAATAAACTCTAATTCCGCTGTAAGGAAAAGAAAAAAGATATCATTTAAAACAAGAAACAAGACTTAATAAAATAGGAGGTACAAAGCCCCAATAAATTTAAATTGCACAATGTGTCAAAGAAAAAAAATATATTCTGTGCAGTAATGAAAATATTCCCAAGATGCAGAAGAAAAATAATTGTTTACGGATAGTTAAGTACTAAACAGCACTTAAATAGTTGAGATGAATTGTTTATGTCTTCAGCATTGGGAATTGCTCCTCTCCAAAAATCCATTTCCACCATTCTTTGTATTTATCTGTGATAGTGCACATCTCACAATTCAATGTAATCATGCCTTCTTTTAGAAATGATTTCATCAAGTTTAGCTCTCAGGGTAATTAATGAAAAACAGACCTAGATCAAGCATATAATTAAAAGATAAAAAAGCTTAACTGTAATGGGATAATTGTACATCTAGATATACAATTCTTATTGCATTTAGAAAGTATATAGAAAGTATACTCAAAATAAGCCAATAATAGGACTGTATAAAAACATATCCTTCAAGGCAGAAAGAAAAAGACAGATATTAAAATACTATTTATTATTGCAACAGGTCATACACTTCATGTTATAAGGAGATAGCAAAAGTGGCCAAAACTGTTATACTCTGATGCTATTTTGTTTAGTTGTACCCTTTTAAAATATTCTATAAGGCAAAGAAACCCAGTCTTCACACAAGTGTTCCCACAAATAGTTCTAAGGAATCTTTTCTGGCTATGTAAAAATATGCTAGTACATATTAGTAATTTAAAAAAAAGAATAGATCACAGAAGAAAACCAACCTAACATTCTAGTACTATTATTGCTATTATACTCATACATGCAACCAGCTATTCCTGCTATCATTTATAGTGGAGATTAACAACCAGAAAGATTAGGTTTAAGAAAAACAAATCCTTAATGTGCAATGCTCTTATTAAAGGCAATAACAACCAAAATAAACAGGGATTGCCTTTGCATGGATCACTGTTTTTTTTGTTTTTTTGTTTTGTATTTCAGTGAAATCATAGTGATGAGATTAACCTAGAAAGTCACTGTGGTTTTTCAAAGTCACAATGTTCCTAAAAAAGACTTTAAAATTAAAAAAAAATGCCCCTGGGCATAAATGTTTTCCTTTAGGAAGACATAATTGCTTTACACGCCTTGGATTCAATTACAGCATCAATTAAAATTATGGCACTTTGGGACAAACCAGTCGCATCATTAATCTTGAAGAATCACACCTTTAGCTGTTAAAATTAACAGAAAAAAGCACATCAATGACTGATAATGTACTTCTTTGTACATGTTAAGAATCCTTCAAAATTCAAGCCTTTGTTTGCCCACATATAGACTAGAATTCAGCCGTTTTTCAACTAAAACATGCCTTTGACCATTGCCAAAATACTCTGTAATGAAAATGGCAAATCAAAGGCAAAATGCACAATTTTGCTATTATGTTAAATATTATAATTTCTTGCAGTAAATTCTATACTTCATAAATATATTCAGTTTTACAAGAGGAATGTCTAGTTTAAATGCAAAACATTCCAATTAATTCTAAAAATAATTATTAAAATTTACAGAGAAGAGTGTATCCACATTTCTTTTCTTGTAAATTGAGATCGGAAATGTAAAGCACAGTAAAGTATTTTTCTTGCGTTCAAAATTGCTTCTAATAATTTGGGAAAGAATAAGAATTAATACATTTAAAAAGGGTAATTGGTCAACGTCCTCTCTATTAATAATGAAAAATATAAATGGGCTAGGACTATAATATTGAAAATGTTAAACTTATCAACATTTTCAATAAGGGCACATATTCTAAGTCACATTTCTTGAATAGACAACACAGTGCAGATCATATTTCCCTACATATTGTAAGTTCATACTCTTAAAGCAACTTTATGTACAGTTTGAAGAAAATATACTAACCATTCATCCTTTTCTGCTTTACAACCTACTTTCTCACAATAATCTGTATTAGCTAGATACAATTTTAATCCAGCCAATTACAGATCTCTATTGCTTTCCTCAAGAACTACCGTGTTTCTCATATAAGGCTGGGTCTTTTTTTTTTTTTTTTTGAGCCCTGAAAAAATGGCTAGGCCCTCTTTTCGGGGGTGACTTAATCCCCCCCACCTTGCATCTTCGGACGGGCGGCGACGGCTTGGATGTTGACCTCAGCGTTGGTGGGGCACTTCATATCGGGTCAACGTAGGCAGCACCATATCCGGGTGTGCAACAAAAGTACTTCCTAACGGCAAGTCCCCCCATTCCCCCCCCCTTTTGCATGTTTTAATATAGATCTTAATTTGGGGGGAGGGGCTTAATTTCATTTCATGCCTATAAAACATGCTGGGACTTCCTATGGGGCTGTATTGTTGGAGAAACAGAGTATATGCAACTGTACATTTTATTTTTCTTCAGGCCCTTATACTTTTTGGTGCAAAATGTTCTCTTTGATTCTGAATCCTGTAAGCTGCTAGAAGATAAGTTTCAGTTTTAAAAGCAACTATCTCTGAACTAAAGGATTTCCTAGTATTAACTAATTTAAAGGCCCATAACCCCACGGTTGAGCCAACTGCATTATTCTGAAAAAGGCATGAGTAACTTTAATATTATTAATTTAACTTTCCTAGAAATACAGTGATAGATTACTTCTGCATCTGCCAAAAGTATAGTTTTCTAAACGAAATCAAGACCTCTGAATATTTTACAGAAGACCATTTCCTCTTTTTACAAGAAAGCATTTCCTCTCTTTGTCTGAGTATTACCACGATACGCAAAAACTTATTTAACTGCAAGTGGAGAAGGGCGGAAGAGAATCTATAGCCAGGAAATTTGGGTTACAAAATAATAGGTTTTGCAAATTCTATTTTACAAATTATAAAGAAATGGCTTTGGTCCTTTCTCCCCTTTCTTCTTATCAAACCCACAATGATCCATTCAGTAAGGAAACATCAGCTATAGTGTAAAAACTTACTGATTGTGAATAAATTCCTCATTAAGGAAACAATGTTAGAAAAGATTTACATATTTGCTAATATAACTGGTGGCCTTTCGGAAAACAGAAAAAAAAAACTGAAGCTGAAAATAAATAAAGTAAATAAACAAAAGGCCAAAGATACAAATCAAGATAATTCTTCTAGATTCCTGTTTTGATGTCATTGTAATACATTTTTGCACTGCTCCTCGGCCAATAATAAATATAAATCCTTGATAAACATAGGCATTGTCACCTATAGGCATGCATTAAATAGGAAGCATTATTATTATTATTATTATTATTATTATTATTATTATTATTATTATTATTATTATTATTATATTTTAGCTGCCCTTATTGTAAACAGGACAGACTAAAACGACTTATTAGGCGGGATGGAACTATCCTTCCCTCCAGTCAGTCTGGGAAGCTTCTCCCCTGCAGTTGGTCATACAGTCTGACTTTAGTGCCCAGTTAAGTCCAGAGGATAAGAAGAGGCCACACTGCCCATTTCTGAATGAGGGACTCAGATGGGAGCACCCTGTATCCTTGCCCATACACATGTGCGAAACTAGAGAGCAATAACTGCCAGACAAAAGGTAGCACTGAGGCACCCGGACAATTAAAAGCAGCCTTTCGGCAGACAAAGCCGGGACTAGGCGAGGGAAGAGCGGGGTTGCTAGAATACCTCTGTGAAAAAGCAGGTCTTTCAACCGAGCCTCTTTCAAAGTGGTAGCGTTAAGCTCTTCGACGGGCATCCTCGGGCCCTTCTCTGCTCGAGTGGGAGCCTCGCTGCGGACAGAGGAGCATCGCTTCGGACTTCAAGCAATGCCCGGCCGGATTCCCCTTGGCTCGCCTAGGCAGCCGCGTCTCTCGCCCTCCTCGCCTGGCAGACGGCGGCAGCCAGCCTTCCTCGGCCGAGCTGCTCCGAAGCGCAGGGTTTCCCAGAGTCGCTGGCCGGGAGGAGAACCAGGGGGTGGCAAGGAAGGAAGGCGGAGAGGAAGAAATGCTTCTCGGGGGGCCTTTCATGCTTCCCGGACGGAGGCGGAGCCCTCGAGACGCCTCTCGACCGCCCTTAAAGCCACCGGCCGCGGGGCCAAAGTCCCCGCCGGCAAGACAAGGCAACACGGACCGAGGCGCCGCCGCCTCAACGAGCTCGCCGGGGAATAAACCGGGCGCTCCCCGAGTTAAGAGCCGCCCGGTCGACCACAGCCCCGTTCGGGTTTTTTTTTTGTTCTTTTTTTTAAGGGAAGGTGGAGGGTGGGAGAGAGAAAGTTAGGCAAGGAGGGGAGCGCAAAGCGAAGGGCGACGCCGCTCTTACCAACTTCCCGCCCGCAACTGCCTCGCCTGCTTTCGGCCAAAGCCCAGCCGAGACTTGGCGAGCGCCTCTTCTACCTTCCGCCTTTCTGCTCCAACGCGACGTGCGTCACTCCGAGCCCCCGGGCAGAGCCGGGATCGTAGGAGCCGCTCTAGGAAGAGCCTTGGCGGGGGCTCCCTCCCCGCTCTCTGGCTATTGGGAAATGCTTGCACGTGTCCTCCGCCGGCGGCTGGCGGCGCGCGGTCGAAGCCCGCCGCTCCTAACAGCTGCCCTTCGTTGCTTAAGGCGCAGATCGCGGCAGCTTTCCGTCCCGTCGTCCGGTTTCTTTCCGAAGCGCTCTGGGAGTTTTAAAGGATACGTTGGTTGCCTGCCAAGCTTTGAGGCAATCTTTTTGCCTTTCCGGCTTTTCAAAAAAAAAAAAAAAAAAAGTGGGGGAGGAGGTAATAGACGCAAGTGTGTTTCGGTGGAATTGTGAATATAATTTATGAATCTGCGACCTACCTATTCCACTCTCCAGTTTGGAACAAATAGTCCCGACTTCTGTATGTAATTATATATTGTGGCGAGTTCTTAAGGAAAAAAAGGAGCACGGCTGTATAATATTCCCTGTTTTTTCAGACCTCAGGAAAGTATAGTATTGGGTTTGGCACAGTAGACTTAATTAATAGCTTTTCTCCTAAATGTCAA